GAATATACGTACGTATTTACTTCAATAAATACATGAAGCAATAATTTATAATGAAGACTGTATGATTTACTATTTTAATTATCGTATTAGAATAACACTGCCAACATTTTAATCAAACTAGAATTGAATACTATAGACAAAAATTAAATTGCTCATAAGCTCTGTATCGTAGCTAATAATCACCTCAGTCATAAATATTGTAAAATATTTTAATATGAGAAGTGAAGAAAGGTGAGAGAAAAACATACATCGTTAATGTAATTAAAACGAAAACAGATTTACCTCGAATTATTATTTCCAATAAGAATGCGTTGTTAAGTCAACGTAGTAACTATGTTGACTATTATTCACTGCTATGACTTTTAGCATCACTGTAAAAGATATAAACTACTTTTGTATTTCTTACAAACTATTAAAACTTAAATTAAATTGTTAATCCTGATCTTGAATTTAATGTACCTTCAAATAAAATAAAACTTATTTTTAATAAACAGGATTGCTTTGGTAGGTGATGGGAAAAAATTACTATCAACGCGTATCCTTGTGGATAAAATCATTTTATTGAACGATATATACTGCTAAAATTAAAATTTCAAAATAATAGGTCTCTATTTAAAATTGCATATTTTTATTATTATCGTCAACAAATCTTAACATTGACTTGGTATTACGCGATCTAATTTGTTTCGGATGCTCTATAACAATTGCCGCTGGTAATTTTCCAACTTACAAATATTATTCGAGAATATTGCAACACTTAATTAATTTAAGGCACTTTTTCATATCATTAGATTTAAAAACATTATTTCTCTTACCAGTGAATAGAAATTTTATCCTGCAAACTTGTAAACTATAGATTGTTTTCGTACGCGAGACGAAAGACCACGTCTGACTCAAAGTGTCTCATACTACTGTGAATCCGCTTACGCTTGTTTCTTCCGTACAATCAGTCAAAAAATTCCCATTCATTACATTTCTATGTACTTAAACCCAACTATGATCAGGATTAAAATAGCTATGGATACGACACGTGTATAAACATTGTTGAAAAATTAATAACCTAAAGATAATCGCGTTACATGGTCCTGTTTTATTAATATTTATTTCAATCTTCTTACACAAGATTACAACATTAAAAATGGAATGGATGAAGACGTTTTTCACTGATTGTTATGTTGCGTGTGAACTCTTCCAGATTTCTCACGGACGATGAGAATTATCATTATACAATAATGGTAATGAAACACAGGCGTAGTAAAAAATAAAATTCATTATCATCCTCGAATGGTGCGCCTCACGAGTGAACTAGTCAACGGTAAGTTCTATCTGAGGTACTACGAGTTTTTTAAATATCTAAGAAGTTGCTTAAGGTACTTGTAAAAAGTCTTTATGCGTCGACTGCCCCTTTTTTCCACCGTTCCCATCTTTTTTCTTATATTTTCTTTTTGTTTATTGTTGCTATAATTCTCTTCACCGAACGACTTTGCCGTCCCCAACCTTTTTACTTCACAATTTCCTTGAAAACGAGCCGATCTGACTCGATCGTTAATGAACTCGCTCTCAAAGCGTCTCACCAGGTTCCTCTGCTATGTCTTTCAGTTCGATCTCCTCGTCGAAGATTTTTACGTCTTTCACGAAATACCAGACACCCACATCGAATATCGTACCGATCGTTACGAACGCTGAGGAATTTATAAAGAACCGAGATTATTGTTTTATAAATAGAGTAAGAAAAATGTTATCTACGACGCTCTGACGTTAATGTCTTAAGTAGATTGAGCAAACAACTTACTGGCTGCCGTAAAGTTTAGTAGATATCTTAACGTTTCTCCATTGTACAGCCAACAATTCCCAGTACCCGAACATGTTTTTCCCCAAACTAAACAGGTTTTATCTGTGGACAAAAGTGATGCGCAGATATCAGCAAATAAATCATAAATTAATTGAATGAAATTACAAACGAAACAAGTGAAAAGAAAAAGTTCTCGCCTAAACAAAAAAAAAAAAATTGTTCAGAAATGAAAATATCTTACCTAAAATAAATCCGAACAAAATGGGGGAAGGTATAAACGCGAATAAACTCATGATGGTCAATCCGAATCCCATGGCTACGGTTTTATCTTTCTCATCGACGCATCTGACGGAGACCAAGAAGTTCGAAGCTCGTCCTGTAGCCCCGCTGAATTTAAGCAGGCAAACCACAGCCAGAAATATGTAAAACTTGTGCATACAATCGACAGGACAGGCACCGGGTATCGCGGTACCCCAACTCGAGGGTTCGGCGATCTCCGCCGGGTCTTCTATAGTGCGCGTCGAAGTGTTGTTATTCAAAAACAAGAACGGGAAAGGGTGACCGAACTTTGGTTTAACGCAACTGCATTCTGTGTACATTTTACTGCCGTTCGTTCGCATCTAAAAAAAAGAACATTTTTAATTTAATAATTGCAGTACAATTTTTTAATCTATTTATCTGGATCATCGTCATATTTATGAACTTCAAATGTCTTGATGAAATATACTAATTTTTTATGTGATTCAATAAATGGTTTTGAATGATGGATAAACGTGCATAAAGTCGAACCTGCATATTCCGACATCCAGCGTGGCAAGCCGAAATGAATGTCTGTCCGTGTTCCGAGCATACGGGATTATAAGTAACATAGTCGCAGTGACACTCTTCGTTGCATGGAAGCAGAGTCTTGAGAGCACCGTCCGCTTGCACGGTGATCTGACTGTCGTTAGCGGAACATCCGAGGAAAGCGTAGGAGATCATTCCCATGACTGATATCGCGCCAACCATCACGTTCCACGCGGCCAGGTACCTAGCCTTGGGTTTGTACTTGGAGATGATCAAACCGGAAAGCAGAATTCCAAAAGCACTGAATACCAAACCGACTGTCCCGGTAATCAACGAGGATACTGAAGCGGATTGTTTGTACTGCGTCTCGATGTATTTCGGCATGAAAATCCAGTACGGCATGTAACCCATGAAATAGAACACGGTCGCAAGGTTGTTGCACATCAGGGTGGTGTTCGTCAACAATCGCTTGAACGTTCTAAGCATGTCCGAGAGGGAAGCGGGCAATTCCGGTTCCTCCTTCTCCCCTTTTATACTGCTTGCCGACTTGTTTCGCTCCAGCGCCAAAGCTTTCCGGGCCGCGGCCCTGGGAAGCGTTTTCGGGAATAGTGCGATGATGCTTGCGAAGATGAAGAGGAGAAACGCCAGAATGATCCAACCGAGCCACCAAGCGCCCAACCACCTATTTATATTCAAATGAATTAAGAAATTTTACAGAAAAATTTATTAGATTAATTCCAATTGACATCGAATGCAATTTCGATGCAATTTTAAGAATAAAATAAATAATAATACATTATAGTCTTCATGCATTTTCTAAATCATTTCAGATAATTATTTATTGTACCTCGGATCCTGCGTAGTGATCGTAGGCGTTAGAGTAGGGCTAATGTAGAACTTGAGGGAGAACGAAGCCAAACCGTAGCCAATAGCCGGGCCAAGCATTCTGAGGAAGTACGAGAAGCTGATCAAAGCCGGCGTCTTCGATTTCTGTATATTGTCATCCATGTAGGAGACTCCCAACGTGTAATAAAGGGAGCCGCCAACGCCCGACACGAGCTGCGCTGTAAACAATATCACTTGAGGCGCGAAATTTCCATCGGCCTCATCGCATTCCTTCTCGCGGTTCTCCTCTGCGAGGCATAAGAACTTCCGGTATTTGTCGGGTAGGAGGCTCGAGTTCACGTGTTTCGATTTCGCGCCGTACTCCTTCGTCAGTAAAAGAGCGTCTTCTCCCGGGCCGTACAAAAAGTGCGGCAACATCGTCAAACAACAGAACAGGACTACCTACGGGACAAAGCAAACAAGCATTTTATTGTCTTTTTGATAAATACATCATACGATGCTTCAGATTAATCTGATTTATTGCAGGAACTTTCAGGGAGATCGAAAAATAAGTATATCAGGTCAAAATATGGATAATTAATAGTTGTCTATTATATACGGTAATGTTCGAAAGGTTTACGAACTACCAATACAAAATTCTAAATACAGTATGGAAAAGATTCAAATAAAAAGGAGGTTGAACATTGCATTTATATTTGCTTTGCGTATTTTTAGCAGTTGCTATTTACGAAGAGACGTACGTACATCTTTGATAGTATATTTCCTGATATTTACATTCGTCTGATCAAACAAAATCAGTCTGGAAAACGCCATCACCTCCAAGTCTTTTTTCTGAACCAATTGTTAGACACGATTGTCTTGTTTACCGTCAGGTTATCTGATTGAGTCAATAATTCATACCCGACGAATACATGTTCAACCATTTTATGCAAGATAAATAGTCAATAATTAGTTCATAAAATTAATAAGAAAAAAATCGTTCAATATTATATGATATGGAACACTTTTTAATTGCGAATTCCACAGATTCTAATGGTAGTAAGAGAAGTTATTGGATGGAAGTATATATTTGTTTTGAGCATAATTATTAAAAATACGTGCTGGTTCACAGATACCAGCATCGTCTTTTCACTGTCCAATGAATGGAGTGCTTAGCTAAGCACACGGTGGCGAGAGTACGTTGGTAAGAGAGGCGTGAATGAGCGTAGAGATACGATTTCAACGCTTCCTAATTTAATTAAGAACCGACCAACCGGTGGGTTATGACGTCTCCTAGTTAGTTCATTCTTCGGGGAGTGTGTCGACAGCTGATTTCGGTCTCCGTGAAGTAGAGTAGGACAAAGAGAGAATTGTAGGATAGCCAGGGAGAAATAGTAGCGCAATATTATAATGTAATGGAAAACGCTTTTAACTGGTTTCGTTAGAACTTACGGTGTAGATCCCGAATGCGATCCATCGAGGCCTGTGACCTCGTCCTGCGTAATAAGACAGGACTACCGATACGAATAGTTGAGAGATATCGTTACCTACGGTGATAAGACCTGAAAAATAAAAATGCATGTTTAACGTTCTCGACATGTAAAAAATAATTACGAAGCGTCTACCGTTTTATTGATTCGTGATAAAAACTGCAAACACATGTAATCCTAATATTCTTCACCGGTGATAAGTACATGATAATATTATATTTTGCATTATGGTATTTGAGAATCGACGATAGTATTATTTGCAATTTTATGCTGATTTATCGTGACAAATACTAAAGACGAGTACTGATAAATTACATATTTTGCAGATCGCAGTACGATTTATTATGATTAAATAACGAACTTATAATACAGTTTCGATTATTGAACAACTTGTGCACCGCCGTAACGTAAATTCTCACCTGTCATTTTCGACGGTATTTTAAACCTTTTCTCGATGGTGGTGATGGTGCCATTGAAATAAGCGTAACTCGCCGCAAAGATACATCCGAGCACACCGTAAAGGAACACGTACGCCTTCTTGTTGGCGAATCTCTGCAAGGTCGGGTTGCGTATACACCAAATTCCGCAGGATGTCTCGTCGGTGATAGGCAGATCCTTGAACACATCTTCGAGGCATCTGGAGCTCGGAGTGGTTGGCGTTGTCGGGGTGGTCGGAGGCGTCGACGGCACCCTTAACAGTTTCAGGCTCTCCGGCCCGTTCTTCTCGTGGTTGCTCGCGTTATTCTTCATCCTCCTCCTCGTTTGCTAATTGCGTCCCACCGTACTTGCGGCAAGCAACGGCACACGGTCTGCAGCAGCTTCGAGATCGACCTGACCTCAATCGCTGGTAGCACGTTTTCGATCGACGTTCGCTGCCCTCGCGGCCCTTCGCATCGCTTTTCCTTCCCTCGTATCTCGACCCCCTCCTCGCCGCCCCCACGCGTTCTTTTTCCGTTCGCGCGTTCAACTTCCGTTCCTTCGAATTCCTCCACGGTCACGTGTTCTCCATGTTTCGGTATCGCGTGGTTAAAATCTGATCGCGCGTCGATCCGATTTTTCTCGCTGATTACAAAGTACTATCGGTGTCTTCGTATCTGAAAATACCCGCGACTGAATTAAGAACTCAACAGATCGTTTGAGTAGATTTTTACGTCGATTACTCACGTAAATTATGAGAAGAAACATTTTACGTGAGATACTATTTTGACATTTCGTGAAATGTTGTGAAGTTTGATAACGGAGGTAACAAGTGACTCGTTAAGGATACCACGAGCTTGTAATAATCATAAAATCGATCATTTAATTAAAACGAAAATCATTCATATTAAATGATACATTTGTTTTTCAGTATAATAGAGTTTTTAATAGAGATACACAAGACCATATAAATGTATAAACCAAAGATTTCAAAACTATACTAATTTTGTCTTATGTGAAATTTACACGAGGAAATCAATTATCACTCTAATCAGCTTAAGCTTCCAGACGAACTGATACAATTGATTCCCACAAAATTTACACCTACCGTGAAAGAAATATCTTAAGTGAAGAAAACGGAATCGGCTATTTGACGCTGGGTCGATTTCGGAATGTCACTAAAAGTGGAAGCGGAGGTCGGACTGGTGAGACGCGTATTCCCGGTTTCACGGTACGGTTCTTGCAAAAATTTGCGAATCCCGTGTACGAAAACGAACGATATCCCGGCCCGACTGAGATCATGTACCACGAGCGGCACAGATGAGACCATACGATTCGGCTCCTCCTGTGGATCCCCACTTTGCGACCCCGAAGAAACCGATCGCGGACGGTGGACAGGATAGGATCACGTCGCGGAGAACTGTGATGCATCTATGGTACTTCGGTTCGTGTTGCTGTTATCAAGCGGGCACATTTTCTACCTCTCTTGCAATCACTTCGTGCCTCCTTTCCCCGCGGCTGCTGTTACCGTCTCTGTCTACTTCTTCCCGGTCTGCCTCCGTCCGCACGTTTCCTTCTTTGTTTAATCATACCTCTTTGTTCGACGTAGCGCATTCACTTGTAGTTGTTCGACACCATTTTCAATGATCTATCTTTGATAATCTATATTTACGGTGACACGTTGATAATGCAGCTTGTCTGTAGTCGTAAAGATGCCTTGAATCCAACTCAGTATAGGTAGAATTTATATCAGAATCAAGTGGTATTTCATAATGTCTTCACGAAAATTAAAAAACATTTTCGCTCACAGTCTGTTCTACATAACACCTTTATTTAAAATAAGTCATACTTTAATTCTTACTTACTGACTACA